CACAGGGTGTCATGGTTGTGGCAAGCTGAGGCAAAAGAGCAGCCGCAATGGGGACGCAGCCCCCACATTCCCTGCTGACCTGGGTCTGCGTGCTGCAAGGCCCAGATGGCTGCTTCTCAAAGCAGCAGAGACCTCCAAACTACCCCCTAGTTCTTCCGCTTTCTCTCTCCGGAGCCCCACACCCACCCCAAACCCTTCCTGTGCTCCCTCCCTCTGCAGCCCTGATGGAAGCAGACCAGCACTATGTCCTCAATGGGGAGTGGGCTGTGGATCGGCCAGGCGCATTCGAGGCAGCAGGCACCCAGTGGCATTACACTCGCACGGATAACGGTCACGAGACCCTTGAGGCGGCTGGACCCACAAGCGAGGATCTGTTTATCATGGTGAGGGGATCCCCTAGCACAGTGGTTCTCAACCTGTGGGTCGGGACCCCATTTGGGGTCGATCGACCATTTCATGGGGGTCGCCAAGCAAGGCTGTCCGCCATTTTTTTTGTCCGCCATTTTTTTCCCTTTTTCCGGCGGGTGCCTTACCTCCCTTGGGCTGGGCCAGCTGGTGGTCGGCCTGCTCCGTCTCTGCCACTTGCCAGCTACGCCTCGGCCGGCGCAAGGGGCGGAACCACGCATGCGCGGTGCTCCCGGGCAGGGAAAGTCCTTGACTTACGACCGGCTGGGTAGTCCTCGACTTACGACCGGTTTAGTCCTCGACTTACGACCGGTTGGGGTCGCGGCATTAAAAAGGTTGAGAACCACTGCCCTAGCAGAAAGGAAATAGCACAAATCACTGTTTTTAGCCCCTTCAAAGACGGCCACCTCTGGACACTAAATGCTGGGTGGGAGGGACAGGCCACCCTCTGATCTGTGGTCCTCACCCTAGAGACATGGGAAACAGCGCACAGAACGTGTGTCTTTGGCTTCTGCTGGTTCTCTAGACTGGTATGCAAGGAAGAAAATTGTATGGGGCCGGGAGCAGTTTTGCAAGGGCAGGCAGCTGGAGAGGGGCTGCCCCTGCTTGCGAGTATGCCTGGCCTCTGCTAACACCCCCCAATCCCCATTGCCAGGTCCTTTTTCAGGAGGAGAACCTCAGCATAGACTACCAGTACTGGGGGCCAAGGAAGCAGATCCCCCACCCTGCACAGGGGGAGGGCCATGCTCTGCGCCAGCCCCAGGCCAGAGAGGTAGAGGCCCAGCACCCAGAAGAGCCTGCGCACTTTCCTGAAGCCACAGCAGCGATGCAACGTTTCACCAAGGCCCAGGAGATGGCCAACGAGGTGCTGCAGAAGGTGGTCACCCCAGCACCGAGGACTCCTACAGCGCCAGGTAGCTCTGGGGCAGGCGCAGAGGGGGGGGCGTCCATTTCAGTTTCTCCAGCAGACGTAGGAAGAGAAGCGATGGGCAGGGGAAGCATGACAGATTTCTCGGTGCAACAGCTGGCCCCGTACCCCAGCTGTGGCCCCAAAGGCCCATAGACATACAGTAGCACCCTCTAGCTGAGCGATGCCACCCCAACTTCCCAAAGGCTACTTTATTCTTTGTTAATGAAGTTCACAAGAAACCAAGCTGGAAGTCCTTTGGAAAGGGCTGCTGCCCGAGAGAAGGGTCAGGCCTTCCTTGCGGGGGGTGGGGGGTGGGTGAAGGGTGGGCACCGGCTTTCTAGGCCACACTGTGCCACATGCTCCCGGGGAAGGAGTCCTTAGGGATGCTCATGCATTGGCAGGCAGATATCCCTGTGAGGCAGAGATGCCTTAGCTGGCAAGCCAGACCCTGAGAGAGTGGGAGAGGGGCCTTGAGGTCATCCACTTCCAACCTGCTCACTTCCAGCACCAGAGACCCCACCTCTCCCGAGGCCTCCCAGGGGCCTATTTCTCCCAGCAAGGAGCAGGCAGACCAACGAGACTGTTGGACATCAGAGTCGCTGCCATAGGAAGCCCTAAACACGGGCACAGACCCTTGACCAATCACAGCCATACCCTCGACATCTTCCACTGCCTCTGTGACTGGTCATGGGCTGCCAAGCCACCCTCAGCTCTTAGCAGGAGACTCTCCCGCTTAGCTGGTCCTTCGGGTCTTCCAACGGTGTGCATCCCCCCCCCCTCTAACGGAGTTCGTTCCCCTTGCCAAAATAGGGTAATTGACTGGGAGCTGCTTTCCCCATTGCCCTTTCAGGAGCTCCTCAGCCCACAGGTGCAGTTGCGCCAGTCCCTCAGCTATCTGCATTCAGCTGAGATGGGTGGTGGAACTGCCCTCCCCTCCACCAAACCAGCTGGCATCATCAGCCCCTAAAAGCCCCCCCCCACTCCTGCAGGTCGGAGGGGTGGCAGCTTGACCAGGAACAACTGGTGGCCCTAGGCCGTTGGAAAAGCACACTGGCCCCCCACAATTTCCCCATGGGACGCTGCCTTTAATCCAGGAGAAGGAGGCCAAACCTCTCCTTGCCAGCGGCGGCAGCAACAGCAACCCAGGCCAGGGCACAGCCCTAACCCTCTCTTTCTCTTTCTCTCCTGGCCTTGCAGGACGGTGTGGGAAGTGCGACCCGCTGAGAGGGAAGTCGCAACGCCTTCACCACTACTGCAACAGCGACTTCGGTAGGTATTCTCCCCACTTGCCGGGCTGGGCTGAGGGAGAGACCGGCTGTGCTGCGGGGAGCTTCTGCCGTGCACCTGCACAGAATGCGGGTCTCCCGGTGTGCCGGTTCCTCCCTTCCGTCCGTCCATGTCGGGCTCCATTCAGGCTGCACAGAAATTGACGTTATGCGGCTTGTTGCCGCCGGTGCAGCCGCTTGGACGGCCCGGGAAGAAACCGACGCCGGCGCTTAAAGAGGCTCTCCGGCTGTGCCTCGTTCGCGCACCACGGGAGCTGCGGCCAGACGGCCCGGGACTGCGGCGGTGGCGCGCCAGGAGGAACGTGCGGAGTCCGCATCCTGGGGGAGCCGGCTTCCGCGCCAGGAAGACTGCCTTCGTCCTCCCTCCCTCCCTCCCTCGCGGACAAGGGCGGGTTGCAGGGGACCCGGGGGGGATGGGGGACCGAGGCTCTTCTCACCGACTGGCTGGCTGGCGGGCTTCTTCCCGGCAGTCTTCCGAGCCCGGATCCTCTCGAAGCGCTACGTCGGCTCCGAGACGCGCTACGATGTGCAGGTGCAGCAGACCTACCACAACCGCTTCCCGCTGCGCTCGCGCGAGTACGTCTGGGTGCCCAACATCTGCGACTGCCCCCACCTGCTGGAGCGGCGCGAGTATCTGCTCATGGCACGGAACCACGTCAACTTCGAGCAGACCCTCAACCGGCTCCTGTTGCAGCGCGACGGCTACGCCCGGCCCTGGTCGCCCCGCGAGGACCTGCAGCTACGAGACGCTGCCCTGCATTGCCAGCCCGGCCCGCCCGCCTGAGAGCCTCCGCCTGCGCCAGGAGCCGCGAGAGCCCCCCCGACTGCTGAGTGCGCCACCAATGCCTCCTCCGCCCCGCCCGGCAGGGGAGCGCACACTTATGCGCCCAGACGCCGGACTCCGCAGCCACCGCCGGCGCGCTGGGCTTCTGAGCCAGCCGACTGCACCGGCAGATCCCGCCGCGCCGCTTCCAAGCCGGGCGAGTCCGGGAGGCTCTCTCGCCTCCCCAGGACTGAGCGGAAGGGCGTCTATTCGATCAGCCCCGAAATTGTCCCCCGGAAGAGCCTCCAAGCCCCGGGCGCCCACTCGCCTCTGGCTCCCTTGGGTGATGCTGCTCCCGAGGGGGCGGATGGACGGACCGCACCAGCCGCCCCGTTCTGTGTTAGGCTCAGGGAATCGCCCTGGGTGTTTCTCCTGCCACCACGGAAGCCACCTTCGGCCCCTCATACCTTTTACCTTCCAACTCGGTATCCTTAATCTTCGGGTGGAATTTTAAGTTTAAAATAAATGTACACGTAAACCACAAGCAGGAAACCAGCTTAAATGCTACTAATAAAGATTTGTAAGTTTATGATCTACGAACACAAATTTAAAGAGGTAATGAAGCCAGTGACTTAAAAAAAACCCCATAAGCCTAAAACTGATGATGTTGCCTTGTTGGGTAATGAAACACTTGCCAAAAGAAAAAAAAACCCACAACCAAGCTCAGAGAGAACCAAGAACCCTGAAGTTCAGTCCTGAACTACAAATATCCTCTTGTGTTTATAAGCCTAAAATTTAAAAAGACTAATTAAAAAAAATTAAATTACAAATGAATTTGCAAAAACGACGATTCCGCGGAGAACGAGATCGGCGCCTCTGCATCCCTCCTCCTGCTCGCACTTACAGCGAAGGCCGGCAGGGGGCGCCAGGACCCAACCGAGACCTCAAAAAAGGAAATCCAGCTGAAGGTGGCGCTTAAAGAAAGCCTAGACCAGTGATGGCGAACCTTTTAGAGACCGAGTGCCCAAACTGCAACCCAAAACCCACTTATGCATCGTCGAGTGCCGGGTGGGCATGGCCCATTGGCTGGCTGTGGCCCGTTGGGTGGGTGTGGCTGCAGTAGTAACGGCAGACTGGGTGGGACTAAAAAGTTCAATCAATCAATTCCAACTTTGCAAGTTTTTTTTTTCCCCGGAAGAAGTTGAAATTGACTGATTGAGCCTTTTTTTTTTTTGCACATGGCGGCAGAGGCCTAAAGCGAAAAGGTTTTATAAAACCCAGCTGAAGCCCTAGGACTGGGGCGATGGCGTGCGTGCCCACAGAGAGGGCTCTGAGTGCCGCCTCTGGCACCCGTGCCCTAGGTTCGCCACCACTGGCCTAGAACGAACTCCTGCCAGCAGGGACCCTCAAATGGGGGAATGTCCTCCCTGCAAGAGAAACCCCTCCAAATAGCCTCAGTCTGTTTTTTAAAAAAGGGGGGAACTACCTCACAGTGACCCTAGTGCTGTAGTCGTCAGGGCAGGTAGGTCGCTGTGAAAGTCTGACACGCCCACAATGGCCTCGGGAGAGCAAATGGGGTGAAGAGGGGAGCCAGGAAGGTCAGTTCCCACCCTTGGCCGGGGGAAGATTCCAAAGCGCAGTAAAAGAATCCCAGCCGGAACACAAAGCTCGGGCCGGGAGTTGTTCTGGAAAGCTCCCCAGGGTGGCTCAGAGACCCCTTTCAAAACCAAGAGGCCGCCATAGCCCAAAGGAACAGCTGTGCTCCAAGAAGCACTGCAAGGAGCACCTGGCAGAAAGCGAATCAAAGAAAACTCTCTGTCCGGACTAGGCGATCTGCAGGGGGCACCGCTAGGCTCCCCGCTGAAGAGTCTGGATAGGAGCCCATGGGAGAGCCACCCCATTCGGCCTGACAGATCTGGGTGGCCTGTGGTGTAATCTGCATTAACTCTTATTATGTCGTTGTATATTCTGATGTTACTGTAGGTTGGTTGAACTGTATGCCGCCCTGCATTGTGGGTGTCCGTATAAATTGACTGAATAAAGTGATCAGCCACATTGGTAAAACTAAACTAATTCCTGGGGCCAGGCGGGACCTCCACGATTGTAGCAATGACCTCCTGGGCTGCATCAACAGGTCAAGCCGAGACCAAAAGAGGCCTTTGTTTCATCAGCATGGGTCAGTCAGTCCCTGGGCACCATATTTTAGGAGGGATATTGAAAAAGGGGGAGAGGTCTCTCCAGGGGAGAGCAAGCAAGGTGAGGTGGGGCCCGAAGAGCAGCGGTTGGGGACCTTGGGGGTGTTTAGCCTGTGGGATGCGCTGGGGTGGTTGAACGCAGAGGCCGGCTGCACGGGGGCCGGAGGGCCTTCGCACGGGGATTCCCACACTGACACCAGGGACAGCCTGGTGGTCTCCAAGGTTGCTCGCACGCCATGGATCTGTGAAAGGAGTTCCCCCTCGTATCTCAGGGCCGATGTCGGCAGAACGGGGAAACTCAGATGCGCCCTCCGTGGAGGCTGGTCCCTGCCACGGGGATCTCTTCTGAAGGGAGGAGGCAGCCCCCCTGGCTATGCCTGCCACCCCCAGGTGCTGAACCTGCGCACAGAGGCCACTCCGTGGATGGGGAGGGGGCAGGGGAGACTGTGGCCCACTTCCTGGCATGTCTCCTTGTAGGGGTCCAGAATCACCATGTTTGGGACGGCGGTGTTCCCCCGCCTCTCCGCCAGCAGATAGATGCGTCCGTTGGCCGAGCTGCATCCTTCAAAGAACTTCTGAGCCAGGCCGTCCTCCTCCACGGGGGTCCACTCGTCAGTGCAGACGTCGAGGCGGAAGGCCCCCCCTCCGACGGTGTAGAGGGCCCCGTTCAAGGCTGCCACACAGAGGTCATACCTGAAGGGGAGAGAAGCAGGGCAGGGGGAGGGAGGTACCCACAAAAGACACTGTTCTTTGGAACTAGTTGGACCCACTGACAGGAGCCTCCCTGCCCCACGAGGAGCTCCCCCCAGAGCCTGAACTGCCGGCAGCCGAAGAGCTCAATCCTGTTGAGAAGCAGTATTGGGGTGCTCCACATCTGGGGCACCTATCAGGGTGGGCTTTCATACAGTAGCTTCATCTTTCTGAAACCCGCATGAGTTAAGGAATCTTTCCCCCCAAAAGGCATGTCTGACGGAGGGCAGAAATGGCCCCCAAGCCCACCTTTTGGCCCGGCCTCTTCTCTTCTTTGGCCACACAGGACACTCTCCCCCTCCCACAAAAAAAAAACAACACAACACCCCAGGAAAGCCAGGCGCAGCCTCACCTTGGCAGCGGTGAGAAAGAAACAACATCCCACGTGTCTCTCTCTATGTCCAGCCGCTGAACTGCCCGGCAGACGTCCCCGTTCTCATCCAGGCCACAGACCACGTAGATCCGCGTCCCCACACCGGTGGCTCCGGCTCGTTCCACGGGGTGGATCAGGGGACTGGCGGGTTCCCAGGAGGACTCCGCCAGGGCAAGGCGCTCGACGCTGGGGGTGATGCCCTCCGGGGTGCTGCCCCCCATCACGTAGAGGTGGAAGCCAACCCCCACTGCGCAGTGGCTGTCGCGAGCCTCCTTCATGGCCGGCCCCTCCAGCCAGCGGTCATCCCAGCTGTTGTAGATCCACACCCGGTCCACGGGGGCCCAGAGAAACTCCTCCCGGAAGTTCCCTCCCGTGACGAAGAGGAGGTTGCCTGCAGAGAGAGCGCAGGGAAAGGAGGAAGGGCGGCACTTCGCTCCTGGCTGGGAAAAGAAAAGGGTTGGGCCGCTCCCTCCTGGCATGGGGAGGTGCCCCCCTCTTGCCCTGCCCGGGACCCTCAGCAACAGCGCACCAGGCAGACTCACAGTAGCGCCCTGTGGGGCACCCTAAAGTGGGGCAGGCTGACTGCCACCCATGGGGGGGGGGAGGAGCGGGAGCCCCTGCCTGGAGCCAAGGGTCCCAGGCGAGCCCCAGAGGCCGCTGTTCCCCAAGGACTGGCGTTTCAAGGGAGGTTGCCTCGGGACAACCTGCTCCCTATTTGGCCACCCAAACTCTCTCGCTCTGCCCCACCTGCTTTCTCCAGGCCCCACCCTGGTCAGCCAAGGGGCGCTCGGAAGTGAGGAGGCTCCCAGCCACCCAGAAGCGGAGCAGCTCTCCTCCTGTCCCTGTGTCTGCCCAGAGAGCATTCGGAAGGCTGCCACCCAAGTGCACTTTCTAGCTTGCAGCCCATCCAGACTTGGAAGCCGAGCCCCGGATTCAAATCCCAGCTCCCACTTCCCTCCAGTTCCTCCCTGGCCATTGGGAAGGGAGGCCGAAGGCCCAGCAGCTGCAAAGCCAGGAACCGGCCCCAGGACAGAGAGCCGGGGAGCCCCTCTGGTTACAGGGCAGCTCTGGCACCGGGGGGGGGGGGGCTCCTAGACTAGAGTGAAGCGCATCTCGGTTGGCTCATCTTATCAGAAGGGCTTTTAAACTACGATTGAGGGGCGGGGGCAATCTTCACGACCTTTAGCACCTAGTAGGGAGGGAGTAAAGAGAAAGAAGAAATAAAAAAAGAAAAACATAATGTAGAGAGTGATGGAAAGGATACAAATGGACCCAACAAAAGAAGAGGTGGAGTTGCATTATATACAAAAGATCACTATAGCTCCACAGAAATCCACAAAACCAAGGATGAAAACCTCCCTATTGATCCATATGGGTCAATATAAAAGGAAAAAGTGACATTGCCATAGGCATATACTACAGGCCACCCAATCAAGCAGAAGAAATAGATGGACTCTTTGCTAATCAATTAAGAAATGTATGTTGGAAACGTAACACAGTAGTAACGGGAGACTTTAACTACACTGAAATCAACTGGGAGACAAACTCTGCAGCCAGAGGGAGATCGAACAGATTCTTAACCAAGCTAGCTGGCAACTTTGTCACCCAAAAGGTGGAGGAGGGAACTAGAGGAAAAGCTACACTGGACGTAATTCTTACTAATAGAGAAGAAGAAGTGATGGAGGGAGTTGGAGTTGCCGGAACCTTGGACCACACTGACCATGTCATACTGGAATTCAATATAATGCAAACACAAGCAATAGAATACAACCCAACCAGTGTCTTAAACTTTAAAAGAGATGATTTTAACAAATTCAGAGAGCCTAAGCAAAATTTCATGGATAAAAATCCTAAAGGGGAAAAGGCTCAGAATGAGCAAAAGCTCAGAATGAACAAAGACTTGCAACAAAAGTCAAAAATAATAAAAAGTTTCTTTCAACATATAAATAACAAGAAAAGAGTCAAGAAAAGAGTCGGTCCACTAAAGAGAGAAGATGGCAAGCAAGAGAAAGCAGAACGGCTTAATTCATTCTTTGCATCTGTCTTCAGGCAAAAAGAAACTATAGCCCAACCTAACAAACACATAACTGTAAAAGACAGGCTAGAAATAAAAATTAAAATAAGAAAATGGTAAGAGAACCTTGACGAATATAAATCACCAGGACCTGAAAGATTACATCCCAGAGTTCTGAAGGAGCTGGCAGATGTTATCTCAGAACCCTTGCACCACACCTTTCATAAATCCTGGAGCACCAGGGAAGTACCTGAGGATTGGAAAAGGGCTGATGTGCTTCCCATCTTCAAGAAAGGGGAAAAAACCAGACCAGGAAAATCAGCCTAACCTGGGAAAATACTGGAAAAAATAAACAAAAAACAGATCTGTGAACATCTAGAAGCAAACAAAGTTATAACTAGCAGCCAGCACGGGTTTGTTAAAAAAACAATCATGCCAAACCAATCTTATTTCACTCTTTGACAGAATGACTAAATTAGACCACTTGCGAAATGCTATGGACGTATACTTAGACTTCAGCAAGGCATTCGACAAAGCAGACCACAACCTACTCCTTGGTAAGCTAGAAAAATGTGGGATAGGCAGCACCACCACCAGATGGATTTGTAACTGGCTGGCAAACTGTACTCAATGGCTCTACATCCACACGCAGAGAGGTAAGCAGTGGGGTACCACAAGGCTCCGTCTTAGGCCCAGGACTCTCCAACATCTTCATCAATGACTTAGATGAGGGAATTGAAGGGGAACTCATCAAATTTGCAGAAGACACTGAGCTGGCAGGAATAGCCAACACCCCAGAAGACAAACTCAGGATCCAGATGGATCTTGACAGACTTGAACGATGGGCCCTATCCAACAAAATGAAATTCACTTAGGCAAGAAAAACCAAAGGTACAATTACGGAGTAGGTGAAACCTGGCTCAAAAACAATAATTGTGAGAGGGACCTTGGAGTCCTAGTGGACAACCACTTAAATAGGAGCCAGCAGTGTACAGCAGCAGCCAAAAAAGCTAACACAATCCTTGGTTCTATAAACAGAATAGGATCAAAATCACGTGAAGTATTAGTACCGCTTTATAAAACCTTAGTAAGGATATACACCTGGAATACTACATTCAGTTTTGGTCACCACATCACAAAAAAGACGTTGAGACTTTGGAAAAAGTACAAAGAAGAGCAACTAAGATGATTAAAGGCCTGGAGACAAAAGAATATGAAGAACGGTTGCTGGATTTGGGTATGGCCAGTCTAAAGAAAAGAAGGATGGGGGGGGGGGGGAACATGATAGTAGTATTCCAGTATTGGGGGGGGGTGTCAAACCTCTTCTCCAAAGCACCAGAAGGCAAGAGAAGGAAGAATGGATGGAAACGGATCAAGGAGAGAAGCAACCTGGAATGAAGGAGAAAAGTCCTGAGGGTGAGGGGGAGTTAACCAGGGGAACAGAAGCTGCCTTCAGACGTTGTGGGGGCTCCATCACTGGAGGCTTTTAAGAAGAGGCTGGACAACTGCCTGACTGAGACGGGTACAGGGTCTCTCCTGCTCGACCAGGGGGCAGGACCAGGAGACCTCCAAGGTCCCTAAATCAGCTCTATTCTGATTTAGGAAGCCAGGAGCTGCTCTGGCAGTTCTTCTTGGCCCTCCTTGTTGTAGGGCTGCAGTCCAGAGCCCCCCACCCCACCCCACGGGAAGGAGCATTACCCACGGCAGCCACAGCGTACTGGGTGAGGTTTTTGCTCTTGAGTGGCGAGCAGGCTTGCCAGGCTCCCGTCTTGGGCAGGAAGTGGAAGAGCTCCTGCTGCTCTTGGTCGCGTTTCCCAGCCACCACGAAGAGGGTCTCGTAGCTCCGGCTCGCGCAGGGGGCCTGGGTGGCCTCCTGCCAGTTGGGGGGCGGGAAGCGGTCCAGCTCTTTCAGCAGCTGAGCTGGAGGGTCCAGCCCGGGGCGCTTGCTGCGCTTCACCAGGAGGCTTAGGAAGGGGAGGCTGAGGAAGGGGACCCGCACCAGGCCCACCAGCTCCAGGAAATCCTGGGCCCGCTGGGGCAGGTCTGCCACTACCCACTGCGTCACCGTGTCGAAGACCACATCCTCACAAACCACGAAGAGCTCGTCGCTCTGCAGCAGCTCCCTCAGAGTCGCCTTGGGCAGCTCCTCAACCTCGCCGTGGGTCACCACGTCAGCCCAGTGGCTGAGGGCCACGTTGAGGGCAGCAGAGTCGAGCGCCGGGCAGGCAAAGTGCTGAGCGTAGGCCCTGAGGCTGAGGCAGTTGGAGACACGCAGCTCCCTTTCCAGAAAGGTCTCGCAGCGCCTCTTGGCCGCCTCCAGGCGCAGGAAGTCGGCTGTCTGCAGAAGGCTGGCCACGCTGGCAGGGTTGAGGCTGAGGCTGCCTGTCCGGGTGAAGTCCAGGAGTGCCCGGAAGGGCTCTGCCTCAACCCCCTGGATCCGGATGTGCCGCTCTGCATGCTCCCGGGTGCCACCAAAGAACATGGCCTCAAAATAGCTGCTGTGGCAGGCCAGGGCCCACCGGTTGACAGGGAAGCACTTTCCCTCCACTTCCAAGACTGCGTCACACTCGGCATTGGCCTGAACTGCCATGCACGGGGTCGGATCCATGCCGGCTGGCCGGCCTGAGAAGCCAAACCCAGAATAAAACACCCTCCTGCCCTGCGACCTTGGCTCCCGCTCAAACCCTGGTGAAAGGCCAGCGGAGCAGTTGCTGGGCCCAATATAGACACGACTCCGACCCTAAAAATAGAGAGCAGCCTCCTTTACCCAGGGACCCATGTCACAGCCCCTCCTCCTACCTAGGCACTGCCTCTTTTGCCTGTCCGTCTGGAGCAAGCACAACTGTGTCGATACAAAAGGAAGAGGCACACCGATCCTGGCGACGCGAGGTAACTAGCAGGAAGCCAGATTGGTGCAGATTAGTGCAGGCCGAGACGCCTGAGGTATGAAATCCGGCTGGATGACTTGGCACCAGTCTCTCTCTCTCTCTCTGACAGCACAGCCTACCTCACAGGGCTGTTATGGGGAAAAGAGGAGTATTAACAATGTTTGCATTCTGAGTTGCATAGTACGACAGTAGGATAACTGCTCAGCTGCCCAAAGTCTTTGACCCTTGTCTGAACATTGCAACCGACGGCATTTCAAAAGACTTGACCCTAAGAGAAACGATGGACTGGACTGTGCCTGGGAGGCTGCATCTCCCTTTGGAGAAACAAGTTGGTCACGGAGCAGATCAAACTGTCCATCCACGGCCCAAAGAACCATCTTTGACTGACTGGCGCAGTGCTCTCCTCCTCTTTTTTATCATCCTTATCTTTGTGAGTCAGCCTCCTTGGTGTTGCAAGTTTGCCCTCCGTTATAAAATTGCTAAAATTATTAATCTTTTATGCAGCACTGGAGCTTGGCCAACTTGCCTCTAACATAGAAAGGAGAGAGAGAGAGAAGTTGGAAATAGAAGCTCAGCCATTACTTGTTTGGCCTAGGATGCAAATGGAATAATCAGCGACAGCACTTATACACTAGCCCTCTCTAAGCGGTTTACAGAGTCAGCATATTGCCCCCAACAATCTGGGTCCTCATTTTACAGACCTCTTGCGTTGGATCAAATTCTAGCCCAACAAGCAAAGCTGGATAGTTTGTAACCAAGCAACCATATCCAGACTAGGTTTAAAATGGAGCCCAGGAATCATTTTGAAGAAAATAGCTGTTGTGCCTCACACCCAGAGTACCATTTAAATTGACACTGTTTATAATTTTTTTCTCAATGAGCACTACCCATGAATTTTCACATTCTCCAACATTCAACTTGTGAGAAGATTCAGGAGGTGTTTTATTATTTGTCAACTCGAAAACTCTCCTCCTTCAGTGAGGAATGAAAAGGAAGACGAATGCTGACAAATTACACAAATTTTGTCACCTTTTTTTTATAACTAAGTGTTCACGCGGCTGCCATTCACTTGTCCTGGATGCCTTCCTGAGAAAACAGCACAGAGTTATCAGCAAAGACGAAGGCCGGAGGACACAGGACACAAACCAAGGACCAAACTGCATTGTTTATCCAGCGATTGAAGGAACAAGAACCAACAAGAATAATCGGGCGTATTTTACCAAACCTTCCAATTTTCTTTTGTTTACAGCAGAAAGATGGTCCAAAACAGCTGCAGACAAAAAGACATCACCTCGGTGTAAGACTATGTCCTGGCCCGCATACAGTGTCACACAAAATAAAGGGGGGGAAAATCCTATACAAAAAGAGCATAAAAAAATATTTTCTCTTGCAAACGAGGCTCCTTTCCAGAGACTGCATTCCGCTCCTCCTAAAGTCCGCACCGGTTCAGCCATCTTGCTGTTGAATGAAGGGGTTGGGGATGGCTTCCATGCCGTCCTGTGGGCAGATGAGGACCACGGAGGTCCCTCTGCAGACCACCAGTCCCAGCTGGCGGGTGTCTTCGGTGAGTTTGTACTGGTCATCTGGATCTGTGGGGGGGAGGGGAGGGGAATTAGGAAGGCAGGCAGGTGGCTGGGTGTGTGTGTGTGTGTGTGTCTCCCTGGTCTTCTCTCTGCAAAAAAAAGGCTCCAAAGGGGAGGCGGGAAGCAGGACGGACCCCACTCCCTCCCCCACTCCTGATGACGTCACCCAGCCGGGTCCTGAAACGTCTGCGAGGAAACCGCCAAAACCCCAAAGGGCACCCGGGACACGCAACCCCCCACCCCCACTTTATCCGAAGAGCCCCCCCGGAGGGGGAACGGGGAGGGGGGCCGCCTCCCCTTCGGCCCGGGGGGGGGGAAGAGAGACGCACCTCTCATGTACTCGACGGTGCCGTCCAGCACCAGGTTGAGCAGCGGGTCGAAGCCTTTCAGGACGCCGCTGGCTGTCGGGAGAGAAAGGGAGAAACGCCTGGCACCCCCCCCGTGAGAACCCCGTCCGACCGGCGGCCCC